GCGCGACACCAACTGCTCGTCAGCGGTCGGCCCCATCGAGGCCTTCAAGCTGTTCTACCTCAACAAAACTGCAGGTCATGTACTCACTGGGGCGCAATCTTTCGGAGTGGTTGGTCGTTATGTGCTTTGTGAAAGTCTAATAAGGTATTCTAAAGTGGTATTGCCAGAGGTCTTTATAAATGAACGTCCGAAAGTAGGTACTTTTCATTAGTAAAGGATTGACGACTTATAGACCTTTCGAATGGGGCTGCCTAGTAACATCAATTTGTCCTGTTTATTCGTATGATTATGCTTGTAATGTCGTCCTCTATTTCGGTCTCGGTTGGTTCTGTCGACTACGACATCGACCTTTGGACAATTATGACATCGGAGTTCGGACAATGGACAAGGTGGCCCTTTGAACGTACACCATATTTGCACGCTTACAAATTTGTTATCTGTTATTTACTTTATTTTCATCTGGTAGCTCATTGTAATTAAGCTACCAGATTGAACCGGTATATTTTTAATTTCTATAAATAATATAATTCAACGATGAATGATATCCTTGTCATTGGAAGGGCATCATCAATGCATCTATGCGCTGACTAAAACTGGCGTACGATATGATGTTATCGGGCCATGCAAATCGATGAACGTTTTTCCAAAAGAAAAAGTGTTCAGCTTTTTGTTCAGCTTGCAGCCCCATGCTTCGAAAAACATGGGCAAAATGATAAAGCATGAATTGGCAAACGGTTCTGAAGCAAATAGCAAACGGTTACTGCACTGAGTAAATATCTTTCCCGGTGAACGTATCGATTTTCTACCCTATGGAAGCGGAGGCAAGGCGATACTTTGGTCATGCACAGAAAGTGCCTGAAACGTAACAGGATCGTGCGCATGAGCAACCTGATAACCCACATCACATGCACATTGCACCGTGCACACTTTCTGTATTCATGCAGCGCGTCTGGTCTCTCCTATCCGCTCTGAAAGCCGGCTCGGCCTGTCACCTCGCTGACCGCCGCGCCGGTCGCCGTTTGCCGCCGTAAATGCATTCGGCCCGCTCCCGGGGGAAATAGCCGGTGAGCCGGGCGCAGCTCTCTCGGTGTCGCTGGACGTCCTGCAGCACCAAAAACAGAACGTATGGCCGCACACCTGCCGCTGCGGCCGGCGCAGATGACCCCGCGCCTGATGGCGGCCCGGTCTGCTGTGGACGGTGGGGTTAGACCTGCCCGCTGAGGTGACCGGCCCAGTACGCACTGATGTGGCTGGTCCAAATAAGCTGGTCCATAATGGATAAGACGGCTTCCTGCTAGCAGTTGCTACTGGATACTGTTTTGATCCGACCTTATATTTTAATTTCCGATTGCTCGTTTGTCATGCAGACTTTTGTCTTTCATACATAACTGGTGCTGTCTGTGGCGATTCATTGCTTCCGCTAATATACGTCTTTAATTATCATCTCTCTTGTCAGCGAATGTCTCGCTTTGTTGTCATTAATCTTTGAAGATGCTCCTTATGCTTTACGCAGCACAAGATTTTCATCATCTTGTTCTTTGACAGAACAATTGCTTATGTTCTGATCTTATGTGCACATTCCGTTTGATGTATTATTTTAGTTGTGCTTCAATTTCTTGACTACTGTGTACACTGTGCTTACATGCTTCAGCCTTTGAAAAGCGAACCGAAGTATACCCTACTACTACCCTACTTGCTGGGGGAGGCGGGGACCGTTATTGACATCCGCACAATTTTCCCACGCTTTAGTTGAGGAACGGTGTACCGATGGCACACCAAATATAAGCTACCGGTTACGAATGGATGGAATTTTATGGTGACAAAGCTTCAAAAAAGCGGTGCCATTTTTTAGATGTTAGGGTTAACAGACGTCAAGATTTTCACTTTCGACTGTTGTCATTTACGACAAAAAAAAAGTTTGAAAAATAAGGTACAATCACACAAAAGTTAGCCATTCATGCATGTCTTTAACGCCATTAGCTAACAATACCTTTCCAAATCAAAAGGCCATCTCGATTTTTTATTGCTGTTCTTTATTTTCAAAATCATGAACCGAATCTGACCTTTTTCCTGATTTCATGGCCATGATAATTCATATTCCTATGAATTATTCTTATGTTGGACTACCAAAAACGTATACCAAAATGGATGTTACCATTGAAGTCTACGCCTAGAAACATTAAAAAATTTATGCGATGCCTGCCGTGAATGGCATATATAATTTCTTTGGGGGGGGGGGGGGTAGGGAAATGTCCCATCTTGTTTGTTTTTACATTGGCTCTGACCAATGCTCAACTGACCCCTGTATAAATATGATATTTGAGATGCCCAGTTCAAGGTCTCAGAGTCCACGCTACTCTAAACTCCATTCTGGGTGTTTGACCTGACCTTGACCCGATCCGTGGCCCAAGATTTCAACTTGTAGGAGGTAATCATCAGAAATGTGTCGCCACGGACTTTCGTTTGCCGTCCAGCCCGTCTCGCTGTGACTTTTTGTTCTCGAGTGACCGCTTAACGCGGCAAAGCGAGTGACTAAGGGTGCACCCCCCCCCCCCCCAAGTGTTAATCTAATACGTCCACAATGACGTGCCTTAACGAGGCATTTGGGTTTCGAATGACCTCATCTGCTAAGAAACAGGCTGAACGAATCGAAGTAACCACTTATTGAAACTGCTCCAATGGGTGTTGTTCGAGCCCAACAAAATGGCCCAAACCAGCAATATATTTATCTAAGATCCGTTGCTGGATAGATCTTCTTGAATTGGGTATCTGTAAATATCCCCTACTTCTTATGCCTATTCAGATTTTTGTGATTATAAATTATTTATCATGTAAAACACTTCATAACTAATATCAAATTATTTTCATCATTTATCATTATTATGAGCATTAACTCAATTGAACTAATGATGTTTCATGCCTAACTATTATAAATACAGAGAAGTAAACTATCAAACATGACATATCACATTATAGGAAAACTAGGACTTCACATTCCGTGTGAGACACTCGGACAAAGCTATTGGACATTCATTCAAATCAAACCTTGTTCGACAGCTTTAAAGGGCTGTTTATCAAATGGAACTTCATCCTGAAGTCGAGGAAATGAAGAATGAAATGGTCCATTACGTGATTTCATGCATTACAAAAGCGCTCTAGAAGTACATGAGTTAGTGTAATGGTGTTTGCTTTATTTATTTCTTCTCTTACATTGCACCACGAGATCTGATGATGGCAACATTCACACCAGCAGGAACCACCGCTCCTGGTGCGCCGTTTTCGGTCAACACCAGCGAACGGATACCGCCGACCTCTCCATTACTCCAGCGGAGAGAATCGACGTGAAAACACCATAACTCTGTCCCGTTCGGTCACCTGGGGACGACCGGAGAGCCTGTAAACTCGCGGCCAGATTCTGTCCACGCGTGGCGCCGGCAGAGGCCATTTGCCGCCGCGGTGCAGGCCACTGAAATCCGTAGCCACCAATCCCGTTCGAATGCATCGCTGACGTTTTTCAATGCGGCCGTCATGAATAATGCATCAAGCCGGTACGGACTTCGACAATATGCTTAATGGGTGTAGAAGGTAAGGGTTCTGTACAACAATCTATTGATGGGACTGTTAGATTGGGGCAGTATTGGCAAGGGTTTCAGATGAAGTTGAAAAAAATAAAGAGAAAAAAAACATTTAAGCATCATTGCAACTGAAATAAAATACGAAATAACAGCGAGTCATTGAATTCACAGCTTGATAAAAACTTTTTGTCATCATGCGATACATTTTTCATTCGACCCTCGTCCCTCCTTCTCCCCTCTCTTCCCTTTCTCTCTTTCTGTCTACCTAAAATGCACCATTTAGGCTGAATCACGCTAAATGGCCACAGAAAGGTGGCATGCCTGGTTCCAATCTGTAGGCGCCCACGCTTTGCGTCTGTGGCTGGTACTATTGTGTTCTGCTGTCGCCCTGTGTGCTCATCAAGCAGTCATCGCCGCTGTCATACACCATTGTCCCTTATAGGACACTCCATTAATCAAAATGTGTTTGCCACCACCCTCCGCCTTTTGTGCGAGACGCAATCAGAACTTTAGCAATTAATCATGTCGACCCAGTCAATTATTTAGACACGTGGCGTGTTAGAGTTGTTGACATCGCCATTTTATCGTAGAAGGAGCTCACGAGAGCTACTTATATAAAGCTGCTCATGCTGCATTTTCCATATAGCTGGTATGGTATCGCCTTCCTATGAATTTGGCACATGGTCATAGCCTCAGCCAGTAAAGCTCGTTTATGCTTAGCGCGAAGGCCGTCAAAAACTTGCCCGACATTATGCTGCGACAGACATAAAACAGATTGATATTGAATATCCAATAAGTGGCTGGGAAGAGTCCAACCACGCGTAAGTTTCTGATTTCATCTCGCGAATCCGGCCTGTCTCCATCTTAGCTTCCCTCCGGGATACCCTATGTGCGTCAAATTGATTCTGGATGTTTTTCATCCAGAGATCTCCCCATGTGCAGCTTGCTAGATAAAAATGGCGCACTTATAGGATTAATTCATTTAACTGACACAAGCATATTGTCCATCCATTTTCCTGAAATACTTATACGGGTCGTAGGAAAAACATTTTTCTGTAAGTGATGTGTAAGGGTTGGTTGATTGGCTACCAGACAGCTCAATTTATAAGCGCAAAAAAAACTAGCATGTGCTGAGTGCTCATATTTACCCCAGTTATATTGCGGTTTGAACGAGAACGAGCTTGAAATACACGGCACATAGCTAAAAGAATTATCCGTGGTTGAATGCGATTAGGATAGGTTGACAAGAAACCTGTAAACTGTGGGAGACGTGTCGTCCCGGTTTTGGTCATCCGATCGTGGTGATCGGGAAACGTGTTCCTTTCCGAGCACTCGTCAGCCACCAGGGCTCTTCATGTCGCCCTCGCTTCCTCGTCTTCCGTCTTCCTCCAAAGCCTTGTTTCGATGAGTAGAGAAGTGTGTATTTACAAAATTTCAGATCTTACTAATGTACAGCACACACGGACGTTTGACGGTATACAAAAACTACGCGCATGCGCTAGACGGTCTATCTAGTAACATGCGACATGCGCAGCGTGTGTGCGCGGATATACGAGCATACGAATACATAAGCAATGGCGCACCGACACATGCGCAGCAGGTGTGCGCGGCTGTAGGGAACTCCTACACTACCCCCTCCCTAGACGGGTCGCGAACGTGACGCGTCGAGATCGCTGTGGGGATCGAACGTCGCGATCGGTGCGAGAGCGCAAGATAGATCGCGGTGGAGCTGGTCCCGGTGCTGCTGCTCTTGGAGATGGGCGTTCTGCAGGCGGCGTGTCTTGTGGCAGCAGTTCCATGCTGTCCGACTGAGCAGCTGATGGTGGCAGAGTCGCAGAGGCAGGAGACTGCTGCGTAGGCTGGTGCGGCGTCTCTTCCGGAGACGCAGGCTCGCAGTGGTCGATGTTGCTGGTTGGCGCGCTGGCGGCTACCGGCTGCTTGTTGGGTGGAGCTGGCGTCGGCGTCGGTCGCTTCGGTAGGTTGCCGCGAGGAGATGCGCTGAGTGAGGCGTCAGCGTCAATCCGGCGTTGTTTGACGGTCTTCGTATTCCGCACGAAGAGAAGTGCTGAGGCCGGGATTTTCGCTTGGCTGCACGGAGATTCGCAGCGGCGGGCCTTGGCACCGAAGCGCTGGTGGTACCAGCAGACAGAGCTGTCTTGGTACGCTGGCGTCGGAGGGCATGATGGGCGAGGCGTCTGACGGCTGCGATGACGACCTTTGTTGCGGTGGGAGAAACTGCACGGCGCTTTGCAGCGACGCGCTCTGGCACCGAAGCGCTGGTGGTACCAGCAGATCTCGTAGGTTGACGGATGCGCTGGCTTTAGAGGGCGGTTTTCATGGCGTCGTTGATGCTGGCTTCGGCCAAGTTGCGATGCTGCGCCTTTGAGTCGACGCTGGGTGGCCTCCATTTGCTGTACTCGGACGATGAGGGTCGCGATGGTGGCTAGCAGGGCTGTGAGCCGACCTGCTGCCTCGGGTTCGGGTGCCGGCGAGCTGAAGCTGGTTGCGGGAGGAGCGGTGTGCTGCCGGGTGGCTTCGCTCGACTCCATGGTGTGGTCCACGAGTAGCCCGGATCACGTCGGGGTCACCAGTGTAAACTGTGGGAGAGACGGTCGTCCCAGTTTACAGTCATCCGATCGTGGTGATCGGGAAACGTGTTCCTTTCCGAGCACTCGTCAGCCACCAGGGCTCTTCATGTCGCCCTCGCTTCCTCGTCTTCCGTCTTCCTCCAAAGCCTTGTTTCGATGAGTAGAGAAGTGTGTATTTACAAAATTTCAGATCTTACTAATGTACAGCACACACGGACGTTTGACGGTATACAAAAACTACGCGCATGCGCTAGACGGTCTATCTAGTAACATGCGACATGCGCAGCGTGTGTGCGCGGATATACGAGCATACGAATACATAAGCAATGGCGCACCGACACATGCGCAGCAGGTGTGCGCGGCTGTAGGGAACTCCTACAAACCCAGTTGGAAATTTTCCATGCATAGGATGGAAGTTATGGTGTGCGCTAACCCAATCATTGGCTGACGCACATACACTCCTTGAAACAACGGCAAATGTGCTGCTGCATTGCATGTAATAGCCGTTTTCACGACGGGCTATCCGGCGAGTGCACCTAATTTGACCAAATCTGCACCTAATCTCTTTTACAACAAATATCTTTATTTTATGAATTTATTTCAGTGTTTTAATCGATGATACTCTGATAATATGACAAAGCAGGGATATAAGCAATTAGTGCAGCCCTAGCTGATAGCTACTAAGAGACACACTGAACCTAATTTGACCAAATCTGCACCTAATCTGTACCAAATGTGCACCAAATGTGAGCCAGATGGCCGTCGTGAAAACAGCTAATACCATCCATCATTCCGATCGTCAGTATCAGTCGAACTGAGATATGCAAACGATGCCAGCCGGTGGACGTAATTTCAAGAACCTACATCACGAGTTCAGTCGGTGCACTAAGTTCACTGCGTTTTATCAGCCATCTGAGGCCCGAGAGTTACGGGACGCCACGCTCTAAGAGACATGAGGCTCCTTAGCTCGAGCTAGCGGGGCTAAGGAGCTCCCAAGGGGCAGCTAAACTCAAATTGCACTAGTTGACACTTTTTTACTGACCAGTGACATGACCTCACTGACCTCCTACCTCGTGACGCAGTCTTACACGACAAATATGACTCTAACAAGTGACCTCGACTGGTGGCATCGTAGTTGACCTAACTGACGACAGCCGCTGCGACCTGGCTCGACCAACCGCTCCTCACCTGTTGCACTGCTTCTCTCCTCTTCTGTCCAGCGTCAGTCGTACCCGCCTCTTTGACCAGTCGGACCTGCCCTCTCCTAGCCGGTCAGACACCTGCCTCTCCTGGCTGGTGGAACATCTGGCTAGCCTGAGCTATCGGACCTCCGCGCCTCCTGGCCGGGCAGACCTCCACCTCTCTCGGCCGCTCATGCTCCTGCCTTTCTGCGGCCGGCATGCCTACATGCCTCCGCCTTTCCTTGCGACCATTTGTTTCCCGTCGGCTGACGGGGCTGCCGGCCATTTGCAGACATGTTTCTCGGCCCCGTCTGCGAGTATGTGATCGCTCCTGTGGCACGGTACGCGGCCATCTGGGATGTCCCAGTCGTCACACCTACTGCACAAGCCAACGCCTTCCTGGACAAGCAGAACCAGTTTCGCACACTGACGCGCATCATGGGCTCGGCGCACCAGCTGGGTACCGTGTTTCGTCCAATCATGAATCGCTTTGGATGGAAGGTGGCAGGGCTGCTGTATGAAGATTATGAAAGCAGTGCGCACAAAGGTCTGCACAAGTGCAACTTCATGCTGCAGGCAGTCTACCAGGGTATGGAGATCAAGCCGTGGCACCAGAGATTCCTCGGCAACAGCACGCGGCGCGAGTTCGAAGGCCTCCTTCGGCAGCTGGTTCACTCGGCCAGAAGTGAGTACCGACGGAGAGCTGCCAGGAAAAGAGGATCATACGCTATTGGAAATGTTTTTTATGGGGAGAGGAGTGAATGGTAATAACGTTTGACGGTAAGTGCTGGTCGCTTGCATGCAGAACGGCTCTTCTGTGCAGAGGTAAGTATATTGATGAATTTGTGGGTATATCTCTACTCATTTTAATGTTGTTTCTCATTGAATTATATCACTTTATTTATCAAGACAGAAATAATCACCAAGTGCAGTGAAGTGGTAAGTGTGATTGTGTTCGTTGACCGTTCTTCATCTGTTAGCCCAAAACTACCTCTACTTTTGTAGATTTAGGCAATGGGTGACTCGCGATAAAACACAGCTGACATGAAACTGCAGGTTACTCAAGCTAGAATGTTACACAGAACGCTGCACTGAAATCGTACTTCAAAACTGTGGTCCCTCTACTCTGCGCTCTCATGATCACTCAACCTTTGCACACGTAATATCTCGTTGATGATGGCACTGCGCTATCAAACCTCGATAGGGTAATGCAAGCAAGAATAGACCGTTATATAATAACTTGTTAGGTCTCATTGTACTAGGTCTAACTCCACACTCCACAAGTGCTTCAAACAGTTTGTCTTTCTTCAAATGTCACGGCGCGAAAAAGCTCTTGTTTTATCTGTTTTCGCCGTCTGGCGAAAGTGGGATGTATCGCCTCTTCCGTCGGCGTTGTTATCAAATTACACGTCTCAGTGGTCTATCTTACGGAAAAAGAAAAACGTTTGATAGTGCTGAGCCTGATTTGTTTTTTATCGGGATAGTCAAAAACAACAATGTTTGTCCTTTAGAATGCCGCCAGAAATTATAAGGACCGTTGGGCTGAACTTGCACCGCTGTTCTCACTGTCATGCTGATCTGCACCATCGATAAGAACGCGTCTGTGTTGAATCGTTCCATTGTTATAGAGCTATGCTACCCTGCTACCCACTTGTTCCCCTGTGTCGTTTCAGTCATTATCTTGTGCGCCTCACCCCACCACGTCCGAGAAATTCTGATGGTCGCCGATGACCTCAACATGGTCTCCAGCGGAGAATACGTCTTCTTCAACATCAAGCTCTCCACCAGGTGGGTGCAATCGTCACCAAATCCTTTACGCCCAAGAATACCTTCGCATCAGTCATCAGCACGCTATTCGCCAAGAGAGCCCCTCTTTGACAGTCGCCAATCTCCCAATGGAAATTGTCAGCGACCCGTTCAAAACCAAACCCTGCACCAGGTGGATCTCAGAGTCGCGCCAAAGCTCGCCGGCTTGGTGTTGTCGCCAAAGTTGGAGCCTGTCCACTCGGACGGGGACACCTGTCATCCTCAGGTGTGGTTTGTTTAACTTTGTCTCTTCGAGTTCCGTTTGTTGAACGTACTTGACAGCCAACGCGGCGTGTCAATAGAAGCTTTCCGACGTGTTTGTGAACACCGCTAGCGCGTCACGTTGAGTTTTAATTGTCCTGAGAGCACCCACATCTGTCCCTTCTCGATCGGTAACGTTAGTTTTAGTTGAAACGTGGAGGATGAATAACGAACTCATATAGAATGAAAACAATGAAAGAAATAACCAAATTGTTCGGAGCAGCATGTTTTCTCATTTGGCTACGAAAAAAACTTTTTTTTTCAAAAAAGGTACATCGATTATATCCTCCATAAGGGAGAGGGGAGAAGAGGATAATCACTAATCAGCCGTTTAAACCTTACCCGTTGAATGAATATGTCATGATCCTCATACTTTTTCCTGTCTGCTTGGTAAACAACAGTGCAGTGGCACGAATACAACAATGACTTCCAAAATGATAGTGACGCTACCATTTTGTCATTCCTTTGAAGAGCACCAGCTTTTTACCGCGTCCACCGTCACCACCGTCCAACAAAAATTATAATGTCAATGATAAAAATAAATATAAAATGATTATATACCATTGAGCAGCTGTTTCTTTCTGAATATTTCTTGACTACCACCGCTAGCGTCAACTTCATTGCATGTCGTTTCGTGCCTTTTTTGTCGTATCGTGGCCGTCTCGTGCCATCCCGTGTCGTCCCGTGCGTTTACCTAGCCGCGGTTCGCGGCTCGTGCACCGCTCGTGTGTGTGTCGCTGTCTCTCTCGGGTGCTGAGAGGCCAGTGCTCATTATCGGGGTACACGGAACGGGTGATACCACGGCCGAGCACCATTATAGCCGGCGACCTGACCCGTCCCCGCCGCCCGGATAATGACTGGCGAGCGATCCCATTGATCCGTCAGCTGGGGCGGCGGGGGGGGGGGGGGACACACAGAGACAGAGAACTGAACATCGGCATTTCTGGGTACTGGAGACTGGAGAGTCGCAGTTACACCCGTCCAGCTGCTTTCAGTGCCCTGTCTTAGTCTGTAACTTGTCTGTCTCAGTCTGTAAACTAAGCCTTGTGCTTATCGGGTGGTGAATTGACTGCAGATGTAACTCGTTTCATAAGTTAGTCTCTATCTCTTCCTTCCCTCTCTCTCTCTCTCTCTCTCTCTCTCTCTCTCTCTCTCTCTCTCTCTCTCTCTCTCTCTCTCTCTCTCTCTCTCTCTCTTTCTTTCTTTCTCTCTCTCTCTCTCTCTCTCTCTCTCTCTCTCTCTCTCTCTCTCTCTCTTTCTTTTCTCTCTCTCTCTCTCTCTCTCTCTCTCTCTTCCTCTCTTTTTCTCTCTCCCTCTCTCTCTCTCGCATTTGCTCTAGAGATGCCACTTTTGAACCCGCGAACCCGCTTTCTGCGGGTTTTCAAAACCCGCAGTGTTTTTGGCGGGTTCGAGAAGCAAAACTTATCGTATGGCGGGTATTTGGCGGTCAGACTTAAAAACCTATAAATTTTATTTTTTTTTTTACTTTTTTAGATGCAAAACACAATGCCAAGTGCATTTGCTCAGGTTAACAATACAGTATTCATCAAAACAACTTTTAAATCAGAACCAAATATAAAAATATATCAAGGAAGCACATTTCAAATGCAAAACTGAAAACAACCAGCACAAGCAATAGCATCCACAGTCTAGCAATGACCAAACCAGGGTACAAGCAACAAACTACAAAGCATAAATAAATGCTGATGAAAGCATTCCATAAAACATAAAAGAACCTGAAAGCAAAATTATAGGAAGCTGAACTGAAGTCTATGTGCAGTGTGCACTAGTCATACATTATGGAAGAACGCAGACTTAAATGAGATGTTGAAAATCAGAGCAAATGCCACATGTTACTTTATTTGCGTCTGGTCGGCATAAAAAAGAGCTATCAGCTAAACAAAATTTGCTGCAAATTCATTGATTACCTATCCTATGTTCTGTTCCACCCTATATTACGAAAATAACACACCAATTCCCTTACAAAAAATCAAAATATTGACTGCCATGCGGCCCAAACATAACGCAATACAATACTGGCGCACTTCCGACAATCTGACAAGGATTGGCATTTGACTGCGTCAATTTTGGTCTCTGAGGCGAAGGCCCCCAGCCAGCAATCCCACTCCGTTCCCGATCGGGATTTTCGGACTCAGCCCGCACCACCCCGATCGGGACCGGAGTGGGACGGGATTGGGAAATGAGACACTTTGTACGGGCTGGAACGGTCCGGATATCCCAACCTACCCCGCACGGCCGATTGGGAGATCCCGCACGCATCCGGACCGCCTTATGATGTTTTAACAAGCGCTGAACTCCGATCCCGATCGGGATTCCCCAAATCTCCCCGTACAACCGGTTCGGAAATCCCGCACGCATCCGGACCGCCTTATGGCATTTTAACAAGCGATGAACTCCGATCCCGATCGGGATGTCCCAACTCGGCCCGCACGGCCGGTTTGGGAATACCGCAGGTATCTGACATATTAACCGCAGTCTTATAACCGCAGATTGCTGTTATGCAGATGCGACCACTTTGCTTGCGCCACCGCAACCCCCTCGCCTCTTCATTATTCTCCAACTCAACCTTTATAATGCCTGCACGACAAAATGAATTACATTGGACACTGAAATATATTCACAAATTTACTGGTTGCACACAGGTCAAATTTTCACAAATTCACAGCCTGGCCAGCACATTCGTGGCGTCGGCCATCATCTTAGCGCCGCTGCAAGGCGCTGGCACAGCGGACTCACTTCCGGTGTTCACAGTCATTATAGCAGGCCTGCACCTTGTTCGTGTCGGCTCCTCTGCGGACAGTGTGTCCGTCTGCCGTCACGAGCTTCAGAGAGCCACCGCGAAACTAGACGGCTGGCATCTGGTCGGGCGGTTCACCACTGTGCGAAGAGAGCATCTGAAAATGACCAAGAGGTTATTAATCAAAGTCTGGGACACACTAAAAATCACTAAGAAATAACCCACATCTGACATTTCACATGGTATGCCTGGTAATCCAGGTTTCAAACCTACAATGCAACCATTAACGACACTTGACAATGAGACCAAACATCTTCTGTCCATGATAACTGATCAAACATGCGACAGCACGAGTGTAATTCACATGCCGTACAACCACAACGAAAACAATTTCTATTACCTATAGCTTTCCCGCTCCCTACATCACGGATGAAGTGTGCACTATACTCACCCTGTTCTCAAAGACGGACTGATTTCACTGCAACGACAACAGTTGAACCGACCGCTTGCTAGAGCCAGTTCAAAAGCAATATCCTGATGCAGCAGCTCAAAGGAGGGATCGACACTTGACCAACGCGGCAGCTAGACTGGCCGCTGCGCTCAGAGGACGCGTCTGCCTGCACGCGGCCCATCTGATTGCTTTTCCAGGCTTTCTGGGCCACCGGATATGGTGCCCGAAGCGCCTTCTCAGATCGGTTGGGATAACAACGTAAATCACAAGCCTGTCTAAACATGGGATTCGATTGGGCTATCCGTACCGCGTCCCAACCGATTAAGCATGCGGTCCGGAAATCCCGAGTCGCCCCTACCGCCGGCCATCGAGGTCCGGTATCGATTGGGACAACCCAAGCCTACCCAACCCGGTAGGGACAAGTCGGGACATCCGGAGCCTATCCCGACCGTCCCCAACCGCATCCCGGACGAATTGCTGGCTGGGGGAAAGCTGTCATTGATGACGCAATAATTTTACAACCATTTTTTCTGTCTTGGTTTTTGAATACCTCAAAATAGCAGTTATACATGTTACAAAACCACGAAGCTGGTCGCATTTATTTCTTTTATCTTTTTACGTTCTTATCATTTGTATGCCGAGAGAGGACCAGCCGGAGAACATTACCAAGACCATCTATAAAATTATTACATTTAATTTAGTATTTACTGTTTCTTTATTTCTTAACCGGTGATTAACCTCTGAATTGTAAAACTTTAGCTGTTGTGTAAAATAATTTTATCAGAATGGCACATGAATATGCATTATACAACGGTGTTTTCGCAACAAGCTCGCACTAACTACGGCCGCAATAATTTAGTCGCTGTAGCATTCCTTGCAATCAGCTGTTGGTGACGCTTCTGACGCATGTTTCCAGAAATGCGTGGTTCATTGGTGGTTAGCTTGAGCTGGTTTTTGCTGGGATTTTGCATGATTTGTTTTTATGTGTAGATTGAGTGGATACTCATTATTCACCGTGTCGCTATTTATTTTTAACTGGAAATCGCATATCTTTTATATCAACATTCATTTTGATAGCAATATCATTCCAGAAGCCTAACATTGAGAGGGAGCCAGAGTGAAATTTTGATCCTCAGCCAATGCTGAAGGGTAAGGTGAGAGAAAGATTTTACTGAACTCTTTTTCAGAAAGGAATTTCAAATGTATTGATGCATTATTCATTTTCCACTATCCAGTGTGCGCTTCCTGAGGACTTAGCATAGCGATTTCAAGTCCTTACTATTTGTTTGGCTGTCTTTTTCTGCACAGCAATGAAGCAAGTAAGGTTTATATAGCTCTAGCATTGACCCAGCTATATTTTTTTCTTGAAAAAGCATGTTTTTAAAATTGCGGTTTTTTTGCGGGTTCGGCTCAGCCAAAATCAGCTTGCGGGTAGTTGTGGTTGGGCAAGGGGTAGCTGCGGGGCGGGGCGGGTAATGAAATTGCAAATTTGTGGCATCTCTAATTTGCTCA